AATGCTGCAAGTTGTTTAGCATCTGAAAGACCAGGACAACGCCACTTCACCCACAATCCGATGGGATGGTAGAAAAGTACAACTGAACACTGGGACAGGAATTGGCAAAGTTTTGTTATAGCCGCCAAGATGACTGGGATGTCTTACTCCCTCCACTGTTTATGGCCTATGGGACAGCAGAGCATGAAGCCACTGGATACACTCTAGCAAAGTTGATGTTTGGCAGGGAACTTCGGTTGCCAGTGGATCTGTTAACAGGATGCCCACCCTATGAAGAGTTGCCTGAAAATGTGTCAGAGTTTGTGAAAGTGTTATCTGAAAGGATGGATGATATTCACCATCAAGTGTGTTCAAACTTGAAAACGTCTGCTGATTCGATGAAGTTAACTTATGATAAGAGATCTACTGAAGTCAGTTTTGTACCAGGAGACAAGGTGTGGTTGTATAATCCCAGGAAGACCAAAGGGAAGTCTCCTAAGTTGTCTTCTCCATGGGAAGGCCCATATGACATAGTGGATCATCCCTCAGATGTGACTTTCCGAATAAAATGTGGTCGGCGAGGTAAGCCAAAAATGGTGCATGCCAACAGGTTTTGGCGTTATCACGGTCCAGGACATTTCAGTTGGAACGAAGTGAACAACAGAACAAATGACACTGCTGAAGACGTGCCACTGTCAAAGAAGAAACTCTACTCAGTTTTGAGAAGGGAAACAGTGAAGCCCTTGATGAAGTTACTACCACTGATGTGACTGTTACCGATGATAGGACATTTCCTGATGAAGCAGGACGTCATCTTAAAGTATGAGCATGTGAACATATGGGCATATCTACAAAAACTAAAAGGTTATAAACCTTCCCAACTTTGCTATCTACCAGCAGAATACAGAAACGGGACATCCTATTTCTTTTTTCAACTTTAAAATTCTCTCAACAGCCACACATGTTACTGAACTTCTAATAAAAGAAATGTGATACATAAAATCTCTTCTTCCTGCTCTAAATAATACACATTCTTCACTGAATTGAAATCTGTTTTAATTTAACTATTTCATTTTACTACACACTTTCAGTTTTCTGTTGTTATACTTTTTATATTCAAATTGTTTACTTCTTGTGTATTACAAGTTATATCATAATTCTGTTGTATTTACAATTGTGATTACTGATGATAAAATTTTGAAATTATTATGTTCGTCTTTTGCTTTATTATTAAGTTACATTTTCCAAAAAATTAATCCTTATAAATAATTTGATACAATTCTGATTTTTTAAAATCATATCTGTTTGTACCAAAACAGACTAAAAGTGTATCTGTATGGTGTTAGTATATTTGAATCATTAAGGTTAGACATTTTTTCTGTGAGTATCCAGATTAAATTATGCATAGAAATGGAATACATTCAAGTGAGTGGTAAAATGTAAAAAAAACAAAACTACACTGTTTTAGTATTTGGTTTTTCTGAAACATTCATATAACTATTGTGCATAAGCCAACTATACCCTAATATTTCAATTATTCTTTTTGTTTAACAAGTGAAGTCCACTGATTAACTTTTGTTTATAAAATCATTAAAGAACCATTTAATTTGTTTACCAGCCTGTAAAATTATTCATTTTTGACTTATGCTGCTTTGATACTGATGTATTAACATCTGACTATAGGAGGATGTGACTCAAGAGATATCCATGTTGGAGTTCTTGTGGCTTCCAATGCCTGTTTTCAGTACCACCTTACAACTAACATATGGAAAAAACTAAATAACATGAACCATTGTAGATTATTTCATGGAGCAGCTGCCTTGAATGGATTGATTTATGCTGTGGGAGGAAGAAATGATAATGGAAAGTATGTAAAAGTCTAGTTATTTTTATTCTTCGATATTGGTTGTTTAAGAATTACAGATGCACTTTTTTAAGCCTTATTATGTAACTGTATTCATATTTATCCTGTGCTGGGGAATAATGTTTGTGACTGATGTATAATTTTGAGTTTGAATTTAATCCTTGTCAGCTGTATTAACTTAAATACCCATATCTATGTTGCTGTCATGATGATTATTCATTTTTATTGTATTTACTAATCGGGGATGTCATTTATAAGATTCGGGGCTTGGGCCAATAGATGCAGGAATTTTCGACATTTCAATATTATATCGATCATGGTTTTCTATTCTGATCTTTAAAGACACCAACTGGAGATTCGGCACTGTCAAATAGAATTGGGGCATGGGCTTGTGCCTAGTGACACCTCTAGTACTAATCATAATCGTGTCAGGACCTTCACCATGTTTGATTTATCTCTTGTGTTTCAAGTTTTAAAAACGTGTTTATTCCAGCTTGCTTGTAACTACTATAACCTACCTATTGAACGAAAGATGATTTCTATTAGATAATCTAGTTTGAGTAATCCACTTCTGCATGTCAGACACCCTGAATGTGAAAATGTGTTAGATAAAAAATATTGCAATTTACATTATCTATTCTAGTGGTTTTGTGATACCAAACATAAATTAAGGCATGTGTGTTTATAACTATTGAGTAATGGTATCAGCTAGTTAACTTATCAGTGTTTTATCTTACACATTTAAAATGTTGAATCCCGAAAGTTTAGATTCATAGGTGAATAAAGATATTCTTTCTCATATCTGAACAATTAGCTCATTTGTAATAAATTAATTTTTTTAACCTGCCTAATGTAGTAAACACTGAGAGAAATTAACTATCATGTTTAATGAAAGAACCATAAAAAAAAAGATATCTTAGAGTGAGAAGATGATGAAGTTTATGTATTCTTTGAAATCAAGATCAGTGTATAGCTGATTTATATCTCCTCCATTTATGATTTACCTTACTTTTCTGTATGAGAATCTGTTGGTCATGTTCATTAATTAGGTAGTATCGGTGTAATTTTATCCTCCAATGTGAATCACACTTAAAACATGATGTTGCAGAAAAGGAAAGTTACATAGTATTTATCCCAAATCCTGAAGAACCAACTGTAATATAAAACCAGATTATCATTAGACTTATGAACAGATTTTTACCTAGATAATGTTTTTTGTTTAAGTTTACCCTCAATCTTATGCTCATTCAAGTATTGATTTTAACTTTCTGATTATATACATTTTTCGTTCATGCTTTGATAATGTGTTATATAGGTACACTGTGCATTTTATGTGTTCTTACTTTAATAATTTTTTATTTATGCAGACTTATGTGCAGTTTACGTGTAATGCATAGGTCAAGAAGATGTGTTAAGGTTCTGTCACTCTAACTGCTCTTGTACTGTGTTATTCACCTTAAATAACACCCTTTGTCTTCCTATGTAAAAGACATTGAAAGGCTGTACATGGTATGTAAAGTTAAACACTCATCTTTTCCTTTGATGGTCAAGTGATATTTTGAGGTTATGACCTTCTTGATGTTTCAGTTGAAATCAAATGACCAGTCATTCTGGAACTGTCTTACACGACAGTAAATTAATGGTCATTTCGTCTGAAACAAACCTTGAGAGAGAGAAACAGTTTTGAAGCTAGCTCTCCAATTAAAAGAAACTGTCTGGCATGTCACATATATATATATACATCCTTTTTTTTGTATGTGTTTGAATAAAGTTTGTTCATTGAGCTTTTGTACAACTGTATCCAGACTCTTCACTTCTACTTTACAAACTCAGTTATCCAGAGATTATAGAATTACTTTGCACTAAATATCTTGATTGAAACTTCTATTATTCTGTTGACTTTTTTGTATTCACTATTGGAGGAAACTGGTTTATCTAGGAATATCACAATAACATGTCCAAATTTATTGTAATTTTTCTGAAAATATTATTTAATGTAAGAACTACATAATTTCACCTATTTGTATCTAGTTATTGCAGTAGTTTAAGTATTTAATTTCATACAATTCCAGAGTTTTATCATCTGTTGAGACTTTCAACCCCAAAACTAATAAGTGGGCTGAACTGGATTCTCCATTATGTTGTCCCCGCATGACCATGGGAGTGGTGGCACACAAAGGTCTACTCTTTGTGGCTGGTGGTATGATACAGCTAAGCTCAAAACTGTACCAGACTGCTGATGTGGAGGTTTATAATCCTGAAAGGAACAGGTAATATTTTTGTAGTATCCTATAGCCATAGCTGATCTTGTATCCAAACTACTGTTATTGAATATCTAACACTGTATACTTCATTGTTTGCTGGAGGAAAAATACTCAAAGACATAAGAAACATGCTCTTTTTTTTCAATCTCAAAAAATAATCTAAAATATTATATTTCAAATTTAAGCCCACATCAGAAATATAACATATAACGAATATAATGCAAGTTTCAAAATATAGAGCTACTGTCTGTGAAATATGTGGTTTTTAATATGCTTATCAAGGATTTCTTAAAGAATCAACAGATTTCATTTCACTCAACTTGTAAAATTAACACAGTGTTGTTGTAAACTGAATATAAGTTAATAACACATTACATAGCACACAAGAAATTTAAAATAATTGGAAACACTTCTAAATATAAAACCTTATAAGTACTGTTGCATAATTAGGGTTTGAAGACATATATGGAAATCACTAAGCCTAAATATTTAAATTATTTATGATCAATAACTTTTAGCTTATCTTAAACTTATTATTCTGAGATATTCTTTTGTTTCTTAATATTAGATGGTACTTCAAGATATCTAAACTTCCTTCACCTCGTTGTTTTGTTACTTTGGTGGACACTGGGACAAAACTCTTTGCTATAGGAGGTGCCTCACATAATAGTTCTCTTCAGAGTTCTTGTGATGTTTGTGTATATGACAATGAAGCAAAGACATGGGAGAAAACAATATCTTTGCCTTCACCAAGACACAGCGTGGCTGCTGCATCTGTTGGTAATAACTTTATAAGTGTTTAAAACACAAAAGTTGAACAAAATGTTTTTCATAACAGTTTGTATAAAGAATGTTCATAGTACAGTATTAAAAAGTATCAGATTTACACAAATATTTCATTAAGTATTGCAAAATAATACTAATTTAAAGGTTAATATAATAATCATAGTTTTATTTTTTATTTGAAATATACTTACTGTTTGCACTATAATTCTACTTATGCAAAATATATTCTCTTGTAGTTATACAGCACAGAATGCTATTACTCATGAGAAATATTATAATAAGATTTTCATTCCACAATATATTCATATAAAATGCTCACACCTATCATATTGATTGTATCACAAGTAAGGTGGTAAACTATTCATTTATGACAGAATTACAAGTTTAATTCACTTTAAATCATCATTACCCACCATTCATAATCTCTCTTGTATACCTGTGTATATGTATGGAATATCATGAATATTCATTTCATTTTTCAGCTGCTTGAGGTATGTGATGTATGAATGGATATGTCATGCAAACAACTTCTGTACACTTGACTTTTGTTGTTCTTCCAGGCAGGGATTCTTCTTGATTATATTGCATACTTTCATTTGGGACCCATGGACAGTTTTTACCACTGAACTTTGTGTTTGTGGAATCTCACCCATTATAAAATGCTGCACTTTGCATACCATGAGTAATTTCTTTCTAGATGGTGCTGGTTCCCTTAGTTGATCCACATTCCTTTGTTTTCCAATGCCATTAAGTATAAGAGATATCCCCAACTTGGAAATTGTAAATCTCTGACTTCAACACATTTTTGTTATCTGAATGTGTGAATCCTTTGTGTTGGAAAGGGCTGTCAAAAGTGAAAATTTTTCATAGGCATCGAACTATCTACTAAATGACAAACAATTTTAAAATGTAGTTTGATTCATTCTGTTCTTATGAGATTGTATGTCATTTAAGGTCTTCACTTGACTTTCTGATTTGTCTATATAAAATCATTTTAGTATAATGTACCCAGTCCTCTGTAATCAGTTTGAAATAGTTGTAAACATGCACAATTAACAGTTAAGGAAATAACAATTGGTATGATATGAATGCCTTTTGCTGTTGAAGCATGGTTTTTTATAAATTATGTTTTTTACAAGATAATCGTAGTAGGTTTACTGTATTTTTGAAACATAACACTATTTATTTAATCCCGTAGGGTTTTTCTAAGAAGAAGAATGTATAATAGTATATCAACCACACTATGTCTCCTATATTTTGATCAGTTTTAATAATTTGTTTCTGATAATTTCATACGTTGTGCTCATCAAGATTGTTAGGATAGTGATTGGAAAGTTGTTTACGTAAGCTATTTCTTAGAATAACAATTGTTATGGTGTGAATGGCTTAAACCATATAGAATACTCTTTCAATGAAAAAATTCACTATGGCCACAATAAAACAATTAACTTTTTTATCAATTCTTTTATTAGTTGTAATTATGAATATTATTTTGCATTTCTTATTAGTTATATCCATTTCTATTTACTTAAAACAGGTGAGAACATTTATATATTTGGTGGTTTGACAACAGCGGGTATGAGAGCTTTAAATGAAGTTTTGGTTTTGGAACCAACTTGTTCTAAATGGAAGAAAGCAGGCTCTCTCCCCACTCCCATGGTTGGATTAGCTACTGTTACAATCCCTCAAGATGAGGAGTCATTAGCCAAGTCACAACAACTGGAGAGTGATGAAATTACAAAATTTATCCTTTAGTTAAATGAAAAAACAATCGAAGTTGGCATAAAATTGTAACAAAAGAAGAAATATACTAAGTAAATTGTCGAGAAACGTTTTGTGAATCAAGATTATGAAATGTTATACTATAAATGCTTGAAACATTTTGTTAGTAACATTATAACATGCAAACTGTGGTCCTTATTTTGGTTTTTAAAATATGTCATTTTTGTAAGATTATCACTACCACATGTTTTGTGTGGGAGGCATACTGTGTTACAGTACAATATACCTATAATTATAACTGTTTCTAAAAGAAGAATGTTAATTAGCAGATAACAAACAAAAGTTTAACAGGGAAAAGAATGCAGTGTGATGTGCAATAAATTTATTTTTACTTTTTTAGTAAAATGGTTGTTTTATTTGCACCTACATACTCGAGATAATTGTAATGAATTTATACCCAAATATTATATTTTAATATTCAACTACTAAACAAGTGTTCAGACTGGAAAATACTATATAATGCGTTAGGAACCTATGTGAACCTCAAATCTTACACATTTATTTATTAGGGCATAAGATCTATTGAGAGACTAGAATTTTCTTCAACTAGAAGTAAAACATTTCAAACTAGATTAGTCTTAAGTTGGACCATATTACCTATTCTGGAAAGAAAAGATTTAAACATATTAATACTCTACAGCTGAGTCACCAAAACCTTGCAAAAAAAGTATATTATTCAGAGCCAGAATTCCCAAAAGATAGCCCACGTTTTACATCACATTTCATATATGAAACAAACTATTTGTAAGCGGAAAGTCATAAGATCTTCGTGAACAATGTCAGATTATTTTATAATGTTACGTCTCTGGTCGTTTGTTAATTGTGAGGCATATGCAATACCAAATCAGG